ATGGGAAAATTAAAGTCAAATAAAATTCCTTATATATGCTTTGAGGAGAGAGAGATACTGATCGGCCTGACTTGATCATTATCCATAGTACAGATGTGTTGATTTATTGCATTGGACCTCAGAAATAGGTACAATTATATTTCAATTAAATTTTTTAAAATTCCATATATACGGAGGGGCTCAACAGATTCAAGTAATTAGAAAAAATAAAGATTGTTAGAGACATCTAAAGGCGCTGTTTAAATTTAAAAAGGTATGTCTCTTCCAAATCACTAGGAATATATATTATATTATATATTATGCTATTATATGTATATAATACATATATATACATACATATCAATATAGATACTAAAAGAAAACAAGCAAGATGTGGAAAAACAAATTTATAGTAGCAAATATTGGTAAGGCATGCTAAAATATGATAAAAAGATATATTAAATAAACATTAAAGCATTACTCACGGAACACAGACAAGACTAATATGTATAATTCACAAAACACTCCAGAAAGGCATTTCGGCCGGCAGTTAAGACAAAGGTCAAGATGCCTGACTCCCTCATCTGAGTACCTGGGTTCAGTGTCCAGCTCTGGCTCTGACTCCGGCTTCCTGTTAATGCAGGCTCCAGGAAGCAGTGGTGATGGCTCAGATAATGTGTTCCTGTCATCCCAGAAGGATCTGGATTGAGTTCCTGGCGCCTGGCTTCAGCAGTGCCTGGTCCTGGGCATTTCAGACCACTTGGAGAGTGACACAGTACATGTGAATGCTCTCTTGCTCTCACTTTCTCTTGCTCTCAAGTAATTTTTTAAAAAATTTAAAAGCACTTAAAACCCAAAGGTAGAAACTGTGAGGCCACCTGTTTTGGATTCAGTACAATTAGTTAAAACAAGAGATAACAATTTAATACTGAACTGTCTAGAAATATCATTCTTTTTTGAACAAAAGAAAATAAAAACTAGAAATAAGGCCATTCAGAAAATTACAGCAAAATGTGGGAGTAGAATGACAGGTTAGAAATTTTAGTCAAATACTATGTAGAATTTATGCTAAAAATTTTAAATCCTGGTGAAATATATGATTTTTCTAGAAAAGTACAAGTGAAATTAAGAAATAAAGAATGAATATAAGGCTTCTGACTGGAAATTAGATGTACAATGGTGCTATTCTCTGAGAATCTCATGAGTTTGGGCCAGCGTCACGGCTCACTCGGCTAATCCTCTGCCTGCGGCGCTGGCACACTGGGTTCTAGTCCCAGTCCAGACGCCAGATTCTGTCCTGGTTGCCCCTCTTCCAGGCCAGCTCTCTGCTGTGGCCTGGGAAGGCAGTGGAGGATGGCCCAAGTCCTTGGGCCCTGCACCCCATGGGAGACCAGGATAAGCACCTGGCTCCTGGCTTCAGATTGGTGCAGCACGCCGGCCATAGTGGCCACTTAGGGGGTGAACCAACAGAAGGAAGACCTTTCTCTCAGTCTCTCTCACTGTCTAACTCTGCCTGTCAACAACAACAACAACAAAAATCTCATGAGTTTGGATATTTGTGATGGGAGGAATCTATGGGATATTCCAGTGAAAATTTTTAGCCAACTGTTGGATATACAGGTTGCATATTGCTTATCCAAAAGGCTTGGAACTCAGAAACACTTCAGATTTCAAGAGTTTTTGAATTTTGGAATATTTGCATAGACTTTATTGACTGAGCATCTCTAATCTGAAATGCTCCAAAATCCAATGCGTTTTGGGTGTCGTATCCAGCATTTTCTATTTGTGGATTACAGATGCTCACCCTGTGTAAGGCTGAAGCTCCAGCAAGCCATTTGCACTACAAACAAAGATGTGTGATGATCACCATGTAGCTTGGCATGGAAGTCACTGGGACATGGATGGAGTTCCCTGGCAGAGTGTGTAGCGAAGCAGAGGAGCTTGAGGAGCATCCTTATTTACCAGATGGGCAGAGAAAGGACAGCCTGCAAAGTAGGCAGAGACGGCACGGCCAGAGAAGAAGTAAGGAAGAGCAGTGTGAGTTCAGGAAAGCCAGATGGAGAGGATCCCACTGGTGTCAAACACTAACCTGGGGTTAACCTAAGAATGGAGTGGTAGCTGCTTTGGCGCAGTAGTTAAGACCTCACTTGGGATACCCTCATCCCATATCAGAGCACCTGTTTTTGTGTCCTGGCTCTTCTTGCTATTCCAGTTTTCTGCTAATGAAGATCCTGGGAAGACAGTGAATTTTGGCTCAAGTACTTAGGTCCTTGTCATTCACATGGAAGACCGGATTGAATTCTAGGCTCTGGGCTTTTTGACTTGGCCTAGCCATGGCTGTTGCAGGCATTTAGGGAGCCAACCAGAAGACAGAAGATCTCTTTCTTTCTCTATTCCCACTTTCCCCACTTCAAATAAGTAAAATAAAATAAAATAAGATTGTGCACAATGTTAAAGAAATATAAGGATGAATGAGTTCTGAAAGACACAGCCCCTGTCCAGAGCCTAGTATCTGGAGGAGTTGAACAAGTGAATATTCAGTTAAAATTCCACGGGTTAGGTACATTGTTAGAGGAAAAGTATGGAATTCTGGGCATTTCAGAGATTAGGCTTATAACTATAACTCATGCTAGGAAACCAAGGCAGGATAACTATGAGTTATCAAGACAAGAATAAAGGGAACTCTGGAGGGAGAGAGAGAGAGTGTGCAACATGCAGAGGCCTATTGACTGTGAGAATATGCCTATGTGTTTGTTAGAATACACTAACTGCTAGAACATGTTTCCCCAAATTGCAGTGATTTTATGCAATAAAATCTGTGTCCTGCTCATTAAAAAGTGGGTGACTGAGAGCAATTTTACTAGGTTCTTTCAAAGTTTTAGTTAAGAGATGCTATTCATGGTAAGTTTTAGAGGCTAGGATACAGAAAATTACCCAATTTGTCTTCTAAAACTGGTGTACAATCATAAGCTGAACAGAAGCAGGCATGAAATTTTGGTCCTTCATATGGACACACATGTTAAAATCCCTGATATCAGCAATAACAATAACCGACTTATGAGTGTCACTGTGTACCACACATTATTCATAGTAATATAATTCATCCAATCCACACATTGGTAACCTTAAGAAAATATTAACAAATTGAAATCAGGAATACTAAGAAAATTATATACCACATTGTTGTTTTAATGTTTACTTGTGAAATATTGGGAAATCTGTTATAAAATACAATTTAAACTGGTCAAACAGAAAATTTTTGTGACTGTAATTTTCTAAATTTCCAGAAACTTCTTATAAAAAAAACCTCTTATTGAAACATGGTAAATAATATCTTCTCAAATAGCCAGCACTGCATCTGGTGGCAAAATGTTAGTTATTCCATTTAAAGAAATCGAGTAAGAATACACAATATCATACTCCTTTTGGGGGCATTATTATTAGCATTAATAAGAAGTATATAAAAGGGGGAATTAAAATGATCAGCAAATACTAGTCTAAAAAAGACTTCTTCAGCCTCACTGGCGAGTAAGAGACGCAGGTGAAGAGGACTACATGTGTTGTGAAAAGGAGTGTAAATTCACATATTCTTCTGAGCAGCAATTTGACAGGGTGTGCGAAAGGTCTCAAATACAAATCACAACTTTTGATCCAGTAATTCTAATTTTTAGAATTTGTTGATTGAAATAACTAAAGTTATATGCAAAGGCTAATCGCTGCTCTGATTTTTATAATAGTGAGAAATTAAGATCACATTAAATGCCCAACATTAAGAAGTCATTTAAATAAATTATAGAACATGTCATGGAAAAATATGCAGGAATTTTAAATAATGTTATAAAAGAATATTTAATAACCTAGGGGAAAGTTTATGATATACAGTATTATTGAGTAGATAAAAAGTAGGTTATGGCGCAGCATGAATAGTTTGTCTCTGGATAATATTAAGTGTGTGTAAATCTGGAAAGATATAAACCAAAATGTTAATCCAGGTCATCTTGTAAGTGGTGGGTTTATAAGTGATTTTATTTCTATTTCTGTATTTAAATTTTTAAATAACTTCTCATAAGAAAGGTATCATTTTGATGTTAGGATAATAACAACAAATGTTTATAAAATACATGTGCACAATGGAAGAGAAGAACGCACACACTGCTGAGCTTATTGCTTTATAACTAGAGTTCAGGGAATCATTTTATTATTTGTATCTTTTTCTTTACTTTGATCATGTATTAATTTTCAAACCATAAAATTTAAACAACAAAATTTTTCAAAATAAAGGAAGGGAGGAACGAGAAAGAATAAAAGAAAACTGGAAGTTTGTCATTCATTCACCGCCTTGGTCACGCCCTCATTTTAGTCACTGACACTAAGCAGCCATTTGTTCCAGGCCCTGTCTTAGAGAAGGAGAGCACAGAGGGGAAACAAAATGAGTTCCGCGCCCAAGGACCTTGAAGGAGAGAGAGGAGCCCAGAATCTTAAAAATGTGTGTGTAACTGAGGATGATTGCAACTGGTGCACGTGTTCATCCTATGCAGACAGGAACAGGATTTTTGAAAATAAGTTCATAGAAGGGTTGTATTTGTGTGAATACACATATTTAGCAGAATGATTAAGAAACAGTGATATTTAGAATTAGTAGGTGGTAAAGACATACCTGGGAAAGAGGAGAGGAAGGGAGTAGGGAAAACAATATCACGGTAGTTTATTATCTTTATAAGAAATTGAGATATGGTTGATAATGCATTTTTTTTGAGAATGCACAGAGAATTATACATTTGTGCACTTAAGGCAGAAATAATATCTGTAAAAATGCTAAAATTTTGAAATGTTATTCTAGTGGGAAAGTGTAAAATTACTATACATTTCACATTTAACTGTGAAGTCAACACTATCCCTGGCATAAAACACTAACTGCATCCATGTATGTATTAGTTCTTAGACAATATGTGGAAGACTCAACTTGCAACTTGGCTTCACGGCCAGGACACACACTTACAGTGAGGGCTTCTATCTTTCAGCTTTAAATGAACCGACCATTGACTATGGCTTCCAGAGACTGCAGAAAGTCATCCCAAGGCATCCTGGAGACCCGGAGAGATTAGCTAAGGTAAAATGCTTTGGAAATAGACTTGTGAGTACTTTTTTTGCAGAATTTCTGCAAACTTGGACAAATCAAGCCATTTACATCCCATTAAAATTAATTAGACCTTGAAATTTGGCTGGGCTTTAGATCCAAGATGCATATAAAATATCTACTAACTATGAAATATATTTTGATTAATCTCAGAGGAAATACTCCCCTGAAATGTGAAAAGTTGGGCCTGTAAAGCAGATACACCACAAGAGTATTCAGCTTATAAAACACTGCCAAGTTTATGAAAGTAAATATCTGCATAATTGCTTAAAAATGTAAGCTCCACTCCTTTGTATTTAAATATGATTTTATTTACCCATCATTGCAGGAGCCTACTAATCTATGATCAAGTATTCATTGAGAGCCTACTATGGATATAAGTATTTAATGAAGAGAAAGACATTTCCATATGAAATTTCTATGAAATTCATCACTTTTAAATGAACTTACTTATGAAAATTGTATTATGAATCTGGTCCATGATGGTAGCTTTCTTTATTTAAAACATACATCAATTTATTAATTGTCATTCAACTAATGAAAGCTATTAAAAATGTACATTCATATGTGCACTTTCAACACACAAAATAGAAAATGCCATGCTCTTTATTCTGTGCTGTGAGTAAAATCCAACTTGCACAGTTGCTTTTACATCATACTTTTATGTTCCTGCTGGAAAAATCCCCAGCTCCACCATTAAATGAGATGATATCTGGAAAGTAGGTTAATAGCAATTTAAACGGCTGTAAAAAACAGGAGGTGGAAAAGACAAAATGAGAGGAAAGGGATTAGTGATTACTAATTCTCTCTGGTTAAAGTGAACAGGGGGAAATATTATTGAAAGAATTCATCTTTATTAGAACCAAATTTTGCAGAAGGCATTGCCAAGACAATTTCAGTACTCTGGACAACTCCTTGGCAAACAGCTAAATTCAGGTCCATCAATCGTTTTAAGAATATTTGGTTAATTAGAGTCCCAGAATTTTAAATAGAGAGATCTAAAAGTAGTTTTTAATAGAAATTCTATGACATTAGTTATAATCAACTCTACCCTCAGTTTGGTTGATTTTGTCTGTTTGTTTTGGTAGCACAACTGTTTATGGAACTATTTCATAGTGGTAAATTTCATGCACATAAATATTTCTAGAGGAATTTATGTGAATGATTGTATTCTGCCTGTCAAATCCTCTTTGCTGATTTTTTACATTTTGGCAGAATGTGTGGACTTCCAGTTTTTATCCGTAATCTTCCTTTGTTTGCCGTATTTTGGACTTTACCTTTCTTTATTATCGACCCCACCCCTTCTTTTCCAGGAAATGCTGTTGAAAAGAGCTGCAGATCTGGTGGAAGCTCTTTATGGCACACCACACAATAACCAGGTGAGAAGCCCACATCTTACTCTGTTGAGTTTGATTCTTCACGCTAAGTAAGATGCTCACCCTAACCTGCCACTTTACAGGATATCATTTTGAAGCGAGCTGCAGACATTGCTGAAGCCCTCTACAGTGTCCCTAGGAATCCTGGTCAGATTCCAGCTCTCTCCAGCTCCCCAGCTCACAGTGGCATGATGGGAATCAATTCCTATGGCAGCCAGCTTGGGGTCAGCATCTCAGAGTCAACTCAAGGAAATAATCAAGGTACTGCCTTTCCTGGAGTCAAAGCTCAAGTACATCTTATATGTTTAAGAGACTGGTTCTGGAGTGACAGCTTGAGCCATACACTATCACACAGAATGTGTCCCCAGATAAGCAATAGAATCTTAAATTGGATTATTTCAACATTATAGGTACTGTGTTATGTAATTTTCAGCTATTTAGGTTCCAGATAGAATCCTTGAACTGGAAATATTTAAGGATAAGATTGGCTAATATGAATTTAGAAGGGTTTAGGCTTATAAAAACTAGACTTATAGGTACTAATTGCATAAAATTTATATTCTGCTGTTGTGATAAGCAGAATGAATGATGAAAAGAGGTAGATTATTGCCGTTGTCATCTATTATATCTAACTCTCTCTTCCTGGTACCAACAGCAAGTGACTTGCTTCTGTTTGGTAACTTCCACTGTGTTTTATCACATAAGCAAATATATAGCAACAAACATATATAAGAAGTCGTCAAATTGTTCATAGGATATGTGAATTATGGAAGAATTATGTATGGGTTTCACAATTGTTTTTGCATCAAAATAGATTTACCTTTTTATTCCAGTTTTCCATAAGCTTTAAAAACCTTTTATTCATTTATTCAATAGGCAGAGGGACACACAGAGGGAAACAGATGGAAAGAGAGAGTGTGTGTGTACACTCATTTGTGGTTCACTTCCCAAATGCCCACAAAGGCTTGGGCCTAGAGTAGGCAACTAGCTGGAGGCCAGGAGTTCCATCCATAGGAAGCTGAAGTCTGGAGTGGAGCTGGGTTTCAAATCCAGACATGCTGACATGCACACAGGCATCTTAACCAGCATCTTGCCCATTAGGCCAAATGCCCACCCTCCGTAAGCCCTTGGCAATACTCTCATATAGTTAAGTGTGCTTTTAAGTATACTAAGCAAAGATTTATTCATTGAGGTTGGCTTTATTATAAAGTCTAAATCTGCCATAAATCATTTATAAAAACAAATGCTCTTAATGGTATATCTAACTTGGGATAGTTTTATTTCTAATCTCATTCATCCATTGGAAGATAATTTCTCCTTCTGCCCAGAGTGAGTTCTTGCACAAGAGTAGGTGGGGATACATTATTGCTTCCTTTTCTTTTCTTCTCTCTGCTTTTTTTTTTTCATTTCTCATTCTTTCCTCCTTTCCTTCCTTCTTTCTCTCTCTCTCTCACTCTTGCTCTCTCTCTCCCTCTCTCTTTCTTTCTGTTTCTTTTTCTCTCTCTCTCTCTTTTTTTTTTTTTTGGCAGACATGGGACTTACAGACCATATATTGAGTTATTTCCTTTTTCATTTGATGTCAAATTTGGGTAGTTTTTGAGACACTTATCCAAAGCAGCTTATTTCAGAATAGATTGAATAATGTCTGTGGGTTGGGGTTTCAGGAGTGTGGGGAGGACCCATCACCCCTTCCCCTCTCCCGCTCATGGAATGGATCCTCTCACACTTAGTTGCTGACATCTCAAAGCCCTGTGCTAAAAGAACAGCACATTTTTGTGAACTCACCAGTGTTTTTGAATGAAAATGAGTTCCAGCCCAAAAAGGGCATGCAACAACCCCAAATTTACATCTCTGTTCTTCAGAATTCAACTGGTCCTGGAGGTGTTATTGGGGCACCTTTCCTCCCAACCTCTAATAAAGATGCTGTGGTGTATTAAACTTGGGAAACATTAAGTTAGCCTAGTTAAACCAATTTATTTATTCTCTTGGCCTTTCATACACGAATCTTCAAGAAATGTCTACAGGACATAATATCTGCCCAGATTTATGTGACCATAAAATGCTTTTCTCAGTGATGCCGATTAGTATCCCACAGGACTCCAATATCATGTGAAATACAGTTTGTGAGATGGCCTTCCACGCCGCATTTGCTCATTCAGTCCTTAGTTTGAACGGAGATACTGAGGGCTGGTTTGAAAGAAGAGGAAGGAAGGAACATCAGGGATATCACCTTGCTTTGGGAAGAAACCAGAGGGTGAAGACGAACTGCACACCTCCCACCCCTGCCCAGGAGTAACAGCAACTTGGCAGTGTTCCATGGTTGGGGGCTGGTGCAGACCTGGGCTGGGTACATGTGGCCTGACTGTGCACGCCGGTTGGTTTACCTGAGCTTTTCCTGTATTGTCCAGGATACATCCGCAACACAAGCAGCATCTCTCCCCGGGGATACTCTTCGAGCTCTACACCTCAGCAGTCGAACTACAGTACCTCCAGCAATAGTATGAATGGCTACAGCAACGTCCCCATGGCCAATCTGGGCGTTCCAGGGTCACCAGGCTTTCTCAACGGCTCACCCACAGGCTCCCCTTACGGAAGTAAGTGCTCGTCCGTGCGTCCAACTCTCTCTGCCTTTCTGTCTCTGGGTTTTTCCCTTGAGCCTTTCAAGGGAAAATTGCTTTCCTAAATAATGCTGGCTTTTTGGGGGAGTAGCTCAGTTTCTTTGTGAAATGGCCTTCCTGCCTTGCATTCTGTCCCCTTAGTTGGAATTTGATTCATTTGGTTACTCAGTGCCTTCTGGGAGAAGAAAAAGAATGACGCGATTCCTTTATTAGAGTGAAAGAGTAAATTATAGCGCTTCAAAAAGTTCATGGAAAATGAGTATTATGAAAAACTATATATGAACTCGAAATTTTTTTTTGTACCAGATAACTTTTGATTCCGTTATCCATGAAGTTTCTGATGTGCCTTGTCTTATGGCTTGTGAGGATGACTGTGAACAGTTAAGATTCAATTTCCTTTACTAATATGGGTGTTCTTCATTAGATACTCTCAGATGTAATATTTCATATTCATAAGAACTTTCTGAGGTTAGTATTTTTTATCTCTATGTTATGGTGAGAAACTGTAGCTGGAGTCCAGCAGGGCAACTGGGCCCAAAATAGATGACTGGAAGCTATTCTGTACATCACTCTGTGCTTCTTTTTGACTTTGTAACACGATCCTCTCTTCCCTTCAGTACCTCCAGAGAGGTGAAAGTTGACTGTGGATATACTGAGATAGATCGAGACAGCACCTCCTAATCTTAATCTTTGGTCTAGCAGCAAAGTTGACGCTCTGGCAGTTGTGAACACTCATGGGTTGCTTTGGGAGCTAAGCTGGGAACTTGCACAATGGTCCCAGGAGCCTGGACAGAGTGTGTTTTTCAAATCTCAGAGAAAGCTTCAGGCCAGGGGACATGCTGGCAGGCAGCGTCTGAAGTGATCGAGGAGAGTTCTTAAACCCTGGGTGTTGTTGCAAGGCTCTGCAAGCTGTCCTCTCTTCACCCAGAGTGGTTCCTTTTGCCAGGAACAAGGACATGTCAAGGACAGCACACAGCCATGTCCACCGCAGTATAGGGAGCGACATACTTGGGAGGCTGCCTCTCACAGCCTTTGGACTTTTGGTTCCCTGGGAAAACACACGCCCATGAGTAATTTCTAGTTTATCTGTACAATTCAGTCACCCAGCCCTCTGCACAGTGTGATTAGAACAGAGCACCAAGTAGCAGAGGGCAGGAGGGGTCGATTCTTCTAGCACAACTGGAATCTTGTTACTGCAAAGTTCTATGTTGTGTCTCGTCAGATGGCCCAGGCTAATTAGATTAGTGTGGTCCAGGGAAACAAATTATTGCTTGATTTGTTTCTTGGCTTGGTTTTGCCTTATCTGGTTCCAGAAATATTGGAGGAATCATAATAGTCAGATGAGTGTCTGAAAGTACAAACTAGAAACTAGTAAGAAACTGAGATAAAAGGAAAAAAAGTATGTTGAGGAAAATTAGATCAATCCAATGACAAGCATAGTTGTCATTTGGTTCATTCAGGGGAATCATTAATGTGGTTCTGAATTTTCAAGATGCTAAAGCAAAGAGAGACCACTACTTGCTATACGAGGTTATGTCCACACATGCATTGTCTTAGGGAGCTCAGGAGGAATGTGGATCCTTCCATTTTGGAGCACTTAGGAAGGTTTTTCCCAGACTTCCTCATGGAGAAGGTGTCCTGTGTGGTAAGAGGCCCACATCTTTAACAACCCCTGTAAGTGATGTGATGACAAGAAACCACTATGTGAATAATACTTACCTCTGGAATTCAATCAGATCCTCACAACCACCTTGCAACCTGGATATAATGATTATCATTGCCATTTTCCCTTGTACAAAATGAGGAGATATATTGTGTGGATTAGAACCAATAAATAGCAAAAATGAGGCTAGAACTCATGTCATCAGACTCTGGATACTGTGTTTTTAAATTATTCAATACTATGACATATTCACTCTATTTTGTAATATTTCATTAGTCTGAACCATATGAAATTTCCTCTATTTGACTACTTTTGATCTATAAAAACAGAAATGTCATATAGTACAATCATACATTCTTATTTGTAAAAGGTTGAACCACATGAAATAGTTGTCTTGATCGAAAGTGGTCAATCTAATACTATAACGTATAGTGTGGTGATAGGGAAAGAGAGAGAGGTCGGTGGGGGAGGCAAAGAGAAGGAGAGAAGGAGGTAGAGAAGGAAGGAAAAGGTCAACGAAGATGCCCAGTTGGATGTCAATTGCTTAATGTTCTTACTGGATAATTCATTTGGAAGGAAAGAACTCCCACCCACTCCAGCAAGTAATGAATGACTTCTTTCCACTGTTCTTTCATGGTCACCCACACTCCCTCCCACAGGAAAGTTGATCACACCCCAGATCTTGAAATTACCTGGTGAAATAAGACAGCATACAGAGAGTAGGCAGAAGAGAAAATAGGCCCGCTGCCCAGTTGGAAGATGGAAGGGTGTAGAGGGCCTCCTCTCGGCTGCTCCTGTAACTGCGGTGATCATTTGCACCTTCATTTTCACTGGGATGCTCCGAAGGGGCTGCAGACCAGGATTAGGATTCCAAACAATGCATTCATTACAATCAAATTCCCTACTGCGAAAACTACTGAATACCCAATGGAGTTCATTACCATAGCACCTGACCTGTATTTCTAACCAGAGAAGTCTTCACTTCTGTGGGAAATACAAGCAAAGCCCAGGGGAAAACATTTCATCAGTTCCGTTGCTTATGTCCGAAAGCACAATTCTGGGATATTTCATTTTCTTTTTTAAATGAGTTTGATGTGGCTGGACCATGCCATAGAGCAATCACTTGCCAGAGACATTAAAAAAGAAACAGAGCCAAGCCTCTCAGTCAAGTTTGACTTGCATTACAGCCAGTGCCGAGTATCAAAAACCCGCATCTTTCCTGCATTTGCTCTCACACTACTTCAAAAATGGCCAAACAGATGTTTTTTCAATTTCACATACAAACTTCACTTCCTGGCGGTAGCAGTGTGTGCCAAGTTCCAGCTCAGTGTAAGTTTTTATGGCTGAATTCTAAACCCCTGACAATAGGGGGTTATAATGAAATGCTGACAGACCCCTCAGCGCCAACAAATGCAATGGCTCGATGCAAAGGAGGCTGTGTGCCCCGAGAGTTCCAGCTGGGGCTGTGCAAGCCAATCAATCCTTGTAAGAAGGAAAGTGGTTTTTCCTTAGCTCCCCACGTTCACATAGATTTCTGGGCCAGACGTGCTTGCCTTTACTTTGGCCTCTCTCCATAGAAAGATACACAGCCAGAGAATTTCTCCAATGGAAGTATGTGTGCTCAACTTTCCTAGCATGGGTCCCTCTGTTGTCTCCAACAAGGGTCTACTCAACAAGCTTGCAACACCCACGGGGACCATTCTTCCAAAGTCTGTAGCCACCAAGCCAATCCAAAGTTTGGGACAGAGTCCACACAGGCAGGCATCCAACCTGTTCTCAAGGATTCTGACTTCACTTACAGTCCTAGACTATGCCCTAGGCTTCAATATTTTTACATTTTCAAAAATAAATATTAAGACATTTTCTGTTGTAAAATGTTAAATGATTATTATAGCAAATGTAGAGCATGTGGAAATAATTTTTAAAGGAAAGCAAATTCCCACTGTAAGAAATAAGCTCTATTTAACATTTTGATATATTTCTATTGTATTTCCTTGGAAAAGTAAGAAATATATCCTATTACAGTAGGAACAGTCTCTGTATAGACAATTTGAAAAGCGTGTGCAGGTAAAAAGAAGGGAAGAAAAATGACAAAGTATTTCCGTGCAGAGATACAGGCTTTTAAAGTATGCCTCAGTCATGGACAGATACATTTAGAAAATTGCAGAGTTTGCTCTGATGCACAGTTAATGAGATTTTGCCATAAAATCAATGAAAGGAGGTGGAAAGAGAGAACTCAGATTCCCAAAGACACAGGTAGGAAGCTGCGTCTTCACAAAATCCCTCCGTGGTAGAGACCTGGCTCCTGAGAGCGGAGCGAGGAGTAATGTTTGCTTTTGAAAATTAATGACAGTCATCAGGCTTTCTCCAGGAGTTTGTGAGCTTTTGAGTCTGTCTGGATTTTGCTTCTGTTTGGTTTCAGAGGTAACAGACAACTTTGTTTAGCCTTAGGTCAAAGAGGGAAATTAGCATCATTCAGGAAAGCCATTGTTCCTATTGCTAAGAACTATAATATTTCTTTTTAAAGAAATAGAGATTTTTCTATTCTTAAAGTTTAATAGTTTCTAATGTTTCTCCTAATTCAAAAGTAATACATGTTTATTGTAGGAAATTTTGAATTAGTGGACAATTGAAAGAAATATGTCTCAAGATATTCATAATCCTATCAGCAAGATACCATCATTAAATATTTGAATGTACATCACATCCTTGTACACTTTTGCTCTATGTGTGTTTTTTAAAAATAAAGTGGACTTGCTGTATATGCACTTTTTTATGTAATGTGCTTTTTTCCCCCTGAGGATACATACCTTTCTATGTCAGTAAATAAAACACTATTTTAATGTTTCTATTGTTGGACGTAATATAGCTTATCTTATTTTGGGTTACTTAAGTTATTTCTCAATTTTTCATTATTATAAAATGCCCTTGGATTGATTTTTTTTGCACATTATTATCATCTCCTTGGGATTAATTTCTAGAGATTAAATTAGTGGGTCAAAGGATATGCATATTTTAAAATACTTTGAGATGCATTGCCTGAGTCTCTCCAGAGAAGTTAATTCTCCCCTTAGTAACAGAAGAATATGTTTCCCAGCCCTTCTCATTTTTTCTAATCTTTATCAATTTATTAAGTGGAAAATAATGTCTTGTTGCTGTTTCAATTAGCATTTTATTACTAATCAGTTTGAGGGTTTCTATATGAGTCTCTTGGTCATTTTCACTTTTCCTTTTGTGACTTTCTTTTTTGTGTTCTTTGCTTATTTTTCTGATACAGTATTTTTCTAATTAGCTTATGAAAACATTAGCTATTGAGGGTATGAACACATCTAAATAATTATTACATATCTTTTGCCTTTATTGTGTGGGTTACAGAAGATTTTCATTATATAGCAAACCTGTCTTAGAAACAAGGTTTATGCAAATTACATGACTTTCCTAATTTTTCTACTAACATGTTTATAATTTTGCTTTTACTCTTTAATCCATTTAGATTTACTCTGGTGTTTAACATGAGGAGTACTCCCAATTTAGTTTCCAAATGTTTGGTGTATTGTTTCCATGTACTTATGAAACATCACTGTTATTAATATTAGTTTTCATAGACAGGTATATTTCTAGATTCTGTTTTGCTCCAAAGATTTGCCTATCCATTTCTGTGTTAATGTAACATTGATTTCATTGATGTAGGTTTATCATAAGTTTTAAAAGCTAAGTCCCCCTTGCCCTTACTATCTTAAAAAATGTTTTAACAAATTTTCTGGCTCTTGCAATGTTATTGGCTTTTGAAACATATAAACAAAGAAATTATACTTGTTGGAAGATAAAATTTGGCATTTTAAAAAATTGTTAGAATGGTCTATGGTTGTTCAACTCTGCAACAATTATTTTATGTCACTGTGTAAAGCCTTTTTTTTTTTTTTCCAAGATGTATTTGATTTTTATTTGAAAGGCAGAGAGTGACAGAGATCTTACATCTGTTGGTTCACTCCCCAAATGGTCTCAAAGGCCAGGTTGAAGCCAACAATCAGGACCTCCGTCTGGGTCTCTCATGTGGGTGACTGGGTTGCAAGGTCTTGGTCCATCTGTGCTGTTTTCCCAGGTACATTAGCAGGGAGCTGGATCACAAGTGGACCTGCTGAGACTCAAACTGGCAGTCTCATTATGGGATTTTGGCATTGCAGGTTAACCAGTGTGCCACAACACTGGCCCCACTCAGTAAAGTTTAAAGTCACTTCTCTTCCACAGAGACAATAATACTTGTTCCAAATAAGCCTCACTTTAGGTTGGGATGTGTTACTAGAAGAAAGTACCTATCAAAGTAAGTCATGTACTGACTGTAAATGGGACTGAATATGTGTGTGAATGCCCAATTCACAGTATAAGAACCTCCTCCGTCATGGTGTGTGGGGAGAAGGCTCTGCTACTGCAGGTGCTGAAATCAAGGTGCTACATTGGTGCCTGCATGGCCCATGCAGCATAGCAGAACGTGAATTACCCACAGATTCAGGGCCTCTCATGTCTCAAATTTTCTTTCACCTTATATTGCATGCCTTAAAGAAAGTTACTTTTTGTTTTTCTATCTCTTTGATGCTAAAACCAATGCTAGAAGAGGGACTTTGGCTTGGAAGTATGAATAAGAATCATTCCTAATGTTTTACCCTATATCCTATCTTAATATAGTGAATTGGCCCAATTTCTTATTCACTAACATCTTCAAATATTACATGAGATTCTTCCAGAACTCTGTCCTCCTTTCCAATGTTTCCCGTTTTTGTTTGTGTTACTTGAGAAAAGACAGAGATGTGCTCAGATGCTTCCTTCTGCATAGTTCTTTAAGTCAGGACTAGCTATGAATACATAGTTTGTAGAGAAAGCTCTCTCTTTTTTTCTTTTCTTTCTTTTTTTCTTTTTTGAGGTCTTTGCTTTGTACTTCTATTGTAAAAGCATCCTATTAGAGGTGTGTTATATGATTGTTTTATATATGCAATTGAGTGAATATAGCCCAAAGTGTAATTTTTATAGGGAGAGAAGAAAAATACAGGTGGAGCCTTCAAGAGTACATCAACATTTGACCTTCAGTTCACCTTGTACTTCACTTTCAAATATTTCTCTGTGGGGCCACTGGCCCACGGAACACACAGAGCAGGACTCCACGCTGCTGTCTGTCGTGAGCATTGGCAGCAGGCTCCAGCAGGTCTTCACCAAGCCACGTGACTTGAACCATTCAGAATTTTGTAGACAATGCTAAAATGAGCTCCTAAAACTTGACCTTGTACTGCAAGGTTCTGTGTGTGAGAGTTTTACCCTCACGTACTCTATCCCTTTCTTGAGCAAGTCAAACACAAGGAAGAAAATTATCTTCTTGTCTTGGTAGAGTGTCTGATGTTAAGAGACTGGGGCACTTCATTGTGTAAATTGTCTTTATTTTTCCTGGAAATTACAGCTCTTAGTTTTTGGCTTCCCTCAAGTCATTTTAATGTTAATAGTGTTAATATTGGTGTTTTTTTTTTTCCTAAACATTATGTCAGGGGAAGCTGACTTGCAGCTTTATTTCCCAGGAGCTCTGGAAGTACAGGGAGAGGGAGATAATCTTGTAAATGTTAATAAACTTTTACATTTAATGAGGAAGTGGCCCACAGAGATGGTATTCACAGAGATGTTAACCCAACAGATAAAACCTCTGGGGCCCTGGGACTTCCCAGGGAGGCTTAGAGCTTCTGCTCAGGGCTTCATTTTAGGGTGAAAAAAAAAAGTTTCCATTGCAGGGTAGATTTGACGATTTTTTTTTTACACATTGGTCTTAGTCTTTTCTTCTTGCCAAGCTTCTACTCATAAATTGGGATCTGTCACAGTGTCTGGCTGCTGATGCCTTCCTGATTCTCCCAGGCAGCGCAGTACTTGGCCCTCTGTATCACCTTAGCATCGTGAACATTCTTCTGGTGGGACCATTACCGCACTGGTGGTTAAAAGCAAATATTCCTCCCACTGGACCAGGGCCGCTGTTGTCGCATTCAGTGTTCTCTTTAAACCCCTGGACTCTGCAGCAATTCCTGGAAATTAATAGTTTGTCAATAAATGTATGCAGAATGTGTATACTGAAGAAAGGTCTTAACCTCTAGATGAGTCCCTTTCTCAAAGAGTCCATTTGCTTTCCAGTCATGGCGTCGAGTCCCACCGTTGGATCCTCCAGCACGTCCTCCATCCTCCCGTTTTCCTCTTCAGTTTTTCCTGCTGTCAAGCAGAAGAGTGCCTTCGCCCCTGTCATCAGGCCCCAAGGCTCCCCCTCGCCAGCCTGCTCCAGTGGCAATGGAAATGGATTCAGAGGTAAGCCAGGGTACCACTTTGGGAGTCAGCGTGACACACATGCCACAGAGCGCAAAATAAGAGCCTACAGCACATCATTTGATAGCTCTAGCCATTTACCCATAAAGAGATGGTATTTTCATCATGGGCCATGAGTGGCTTATGCAACTGGGCTCATACTCTAAGCAATTCAAGGGAAACAGAAAAGCTGGCCAAATCTGCTGGTCACAGAGCTGACCATAGTAAAACCATCTGCACCATCTAGCAGTGTCTGAACTCCTCAGCACTATGCTGTCCACAAAGCTATTCCACTGTTTTCCAGAAGGTTCTGGTCACCCCATCAGGTGTCATGGGCTGATCACTGCTTCCTTGATCAGCTTGCCATGTGCAGTGCACTCGTATTCCCGAGGCATACATGGACAGGCTCCATCAGGAGCAACCGGTAATGTCTGAGAATTCTGGTTACATGCTAGTCAAATTGATAGCAGGTGTCTGATCAAGGATGAGGTAGGAAAGGAGGAGGAAAAGACATACTGTTTCGAAGAACAAAAATTAATATCACCTGTCAAATCCACTTTTGAGCAATGTCCTAAAATATGATATGACATGACGTAACACAAATGTGATGAGTACATGAGAATCTAATCATCTTGCTGTGAATGGGAGGCAGCTGATGGCAAAAGAGCAAATTGGAAACTGCTGAGCACTACGGCTCCCTGGCAACTCACATTATTTTTAGGCTGCTCCTTGTGTTTTGACATGGAAACATTCAGGACGTGCCGTGTTGGGTAAAACCAGGAAGGGCAGAGGTTTGGTTAACGTCTCGTGGATCAAAGCCTCCGGGGTCAGCAGAACTTGATGGGGAGCCTGGGCTGGGCTGGGCTGCGCTGTCATTGGGACGGGAGCTGTCTGTGGCCTGGTGATGGTGTGTGGGCTCCTAATCCTTTCGGGACATCTGTGAAGGGTCCTCCTCTATCTGTGACCTGGGAGGTATGCCTGGTCCCTGTTGCATCCTAGTACTAGGAGAACACAGTGACTCCTTGGAGTCGAGACACTTGACAGAGAACTGCGCAAACCAGAACTGAAAATGCAGCACTGGGAAGCGCTGCCGAAAATGCTTTTCCTTCCAGTGAGGCAAAACAGCTGGATCTCCATGCCACCCAACTTGTGGGTAGTTGGAAACATCTGTATATTTGATGGAACTTTTTTTATTTTCACCCAGATGTCTAAGCTGTTGGGAAATAGGTTCAGCCTGTAGTTAAGTGTCTCCACCTGCCTCATCTCTCAGCTGAAACCAGTGGTTTCCATCCCATTGCTAGCGGATGTGCCAGACTGTTTTCTGTGACCACTTCATCTCCAGATTGTGAAAGGAAAACAATGACTGAATACTCACTGTGCCCACCCTTCCCCACAACTCTGTCAGTGATGATGTGCCCTCTAAGTTCTCTGGTTTTCTTCCTGGGCCTTAAACAAGTGGAAGCCACATAGATCTCCCTGGGAACAAGCAGAGAGAGAAAACAAGAAAGCGCCAGCTGCCCTCCACACTGGCACCGGCGGAAGACAGAGAGTGTGATCCTTACCTTGTTCCCTGCAGCTCAGCAAGCAGGCCCGGCTGCACTTGAAGGAAAACCTCCACCTGCCAGCACTCCTCTACTTCCTCTCACATGTGTGCCCTGGGTGGGGGCGAGCAGAGGCAACTGACAAAGACAGATCTTCTCTGTCTGGGCGGCCCGGGAGACTCACCATGGGTCTGGCCCAGCTCCTGGCTTGCAGGGAGGCCAGTTCTTTCCCTGGCACCCATGGCCTGTAATCCCTACACTGCCTTTTTCTGCACACCTGAGCTCCCTGCAGTGTCATTGGTCAGCTTTGAGTCAACCCAAAGAGCTGAACGGGAGTCTTGTTAAGATTCCCTGTTGGGGGCAGCCACAGCAGAAGTAGCCAGAAGACCCTATCCAGCATCAAACCACACAAACTCCTGCACGCCACTGGTCAGAATACCTGGGCTGAGAGTGACTGGGCTGTACATTCTCCATTGTGTCTGTAGCGCTGACAGCTTCATTGGTTACATGCAGCTACAGGCCCCAGACTCTAGCTTTATTCTGCAGGATCACTGCAGAGTCTCAAACCATTGGCAGACATGAGGGTCCGTGCACCTGGGGTTTTGCCAAATAATCAGCCTCAAGTGGGCATTGCTTAGAGGGAAGTTTTATTAACTTGTTGACAATTAGAGAAGGCAATGGAAAGGTATAGTTCCCCCCAAACAAACTGCTTCTTTGAGAAGCAGTTTGCTAGGGCTTAAAAAAAGAGATTTATTTAATTATTTGAAAGGCAGAGTCACAGAGAAGCAGAGAGAGAGAGAGAGAGAGAGAGAGAGAGAGAGAGGTCTTCTATCCACAGGTTCACTCCCCAGATGGCTGCAACAGGCTGAAGCCAGGAGCCAGGAGCATCCTCCAGGTCTCCCATGCTGGTGCAGGGGCCTAAGCATCTGGGCCATCTTCTACTGGTTTCCCAGGCCATAGTAGAGAGCTGGATTGGAAGTAGAGCAGCCAGGACTTGAACCTGCGCCCATCTGGGATGCCAGCATTGCACATGGTGGCTTTACCCACTACGCCATAGTGCCGCCCCCTAAACCTTATAGCAAGGGTCAGGGGAGAGTCCAGGACATCGATGCTCATACGATCTAAGCCAGATCCTTCCTCGTGCATGTTCAGAAAATGGTAGCAATCTTAATGCAGAGAATTTGCATTATAGTGAGGAAAGTTCAGCCTAGATGGCAAAGATCTGTTTCAAATTCCTTGTTTGTGGTGGTACTATGTTGCAAGATAAACTTTCCTGGCACATCCTCTGAAAACAGTCAAGAGCGTTTGCACTTACAAACTGTTTCACACTCTCTTCCCCTGTTCCTGTGACCCCATTTTTGCCTAAATCCTACAGTAGGCTACACAACCTCTTCTGAATCCGACAATTCACTCCAAATTTTTTTCTTTCTTTTCTTTCCTCCTTCCCTTCCTTCCTCTCTCTCTCTCTCTCTCTCTCTCTCTCTCTCTCTCTCAACTTAAAGAGAAAAGAGGAAGAGTGGAAGGGGATGGAGGGAGAACACCTATCAATTTAGGGTTCTGGTCTAGAAATGCAAAGAATTATGAATATATAAAGTGCTGTGTGGAGAAATCAAAAAGAATTCTGGAGAGGACCCCGAAGAGTTTTAATGGTTGGCAAAACACACAACTCAAGTTTACCAGTTGTGTTTGGAGTTCTAGGTCAGCTCCCTCTGGGCTGCATGAATCTGTGCAAGTGATAATCTTAGAGTCTCCACTTCCTAGTCTGTTAGGTAGGAAAATGAAAAGCTATCCTCTAAGGTTGTTGGGAACTGATTCGTGTGAGGAAGTAGGCCAGGTAGAGGATATTTCCTGGAGCCTGGTGGGAGAAGGTTTGGGTTTTCACAGGGTGCCTCCTGCTCTTCTTCACTGTGGAGCAGATAAGTGGAAACTCAGTGTCCAGCTCTGTGAGGTGGCCTGCTGAGGCGGAGAGGTAGAACACAGGCTGATGGCTCCTGCATTTTCCAAGCACTAAATGAAAGAGTCCTGGGGCCTGCACTGTGGTGCAGTAGGTTAAGCATCTGCCTGCAGTGGACGCCTGTTCAAGTCTTGGCTGCTCCACTTCCAATCTAGTTCTCTGCTATGGCCTGAGAAAGCAGGAAAAGATGGCCCACATCCTTGGGACCCTGCACCCACGTGGGAGACCCAGAAGCTCCTCACACCTGCTTCAGATTTTTTTTTTTTTTTTTTACAGGCAGAGTGGACAGTGAGAGAGAGACAGAGAGAAAGGTCTTCCTTTGCCGTTGGTTCACCCTCCAATGGCCGCAGCGGCCGGCGTACCGCACCTATCCAATGGCAGGAGCCAGGTACTTCTCCTGGTCTCCCATGGGGTGCAGGGCCCAAGCACTTGGGCCATCGTCCACTGCACTCCGGGGCCACAGCAGAGAGCTGGCCTGGAAGAGGGGCAACCGGGACAGAATCCGGCGCCCCGACCAGGACTAGAACCCGGTGTGCCAGCGCCGCTAGGTGGAGGATTAGCCTATTGAGCCGCGGCGCCGGCCCTGCTTCAGATTGACTCAGTTCCGACCATTGTGGCCATTTGGAGCCACAGGTGGCTGGAAGACTTGTCTCTCTGTGTCACCCTCTCTGTCTGTGACTCTGCCTCTCAAGTAAATAAATAAATTAAAAAAAGAAAAGAAAACAAAAAAACCTGATGCCTCTGGCATCTGAGAGATTCTAAAAAAAAAAAGAAAAAGAAAAAAAGAAAAGAAAAGAAAAACAAAAGAGTCCTGGAATTTCAGGGGCCTGAGAAGCAGGGAGCCCCATCTCTCTAGTGGCAGTGGGAGACTGGAAACGCAGGCCAAGGTGCCCAGTTGGTCCCAGGCTGTTGAGGCTGTTCCCTAGACTTACTGCAGGTTGAGGTGCTCTCTATCACAAGCAGAGGGCATGTGCAGCCAACACTCAGCAAGACTCCCCGTTACTGAGTACTTCATGCGAGGTGCTACACTGAGTACTCCAGACGGTTACCTCCTTTAAGTCTTGCATTGTCATCATTGCTAGGTAGGCAGCTTGCCATGGCCACATACCATGTGACCAGTGACCTGGACCCAGATGGTTAGCATCTAGAGCCCATTATGCTCTGACAGTCTGCTGTCTCTCTGGGAACAATAATTGTAAAATTCCTTGACTCTTCCCCAAATCTACTTACCACCTGGACCAAAAGGAGATCATTACTTTATCATGAAATGCCAAATGTAAAAAGAAATTGGAAAATAGAGTTACATATACCACCACTAGAAAAATGCTCACTTTTTCTGCAGTTAACAATTGCTCTCTGTCTGTTGGCACTGGTTTCTGTGAGCAAGAAGTCGGGGTCACTCTCTCCTGAAGATCCAGCCCACCCAAGTGTTGGATGTGAGACTAGGAAGAAAGGAAGTGGGTAAAATCTGCTACTACCCACATGCTGTGGATCTTTTTTTTTTTTTTTTGAGCAACTCTACTCTTTCCTAAGCCCTGTTAGTTAACTGTACACCCAGATAAAGGCAGGGTGTTATACATGTAATACGTGTAAAGCTAGGGAGTTATACATGTAATGGGGAAGTTCAAGTGGAGAACATGAGTGACTGGGATTCTACTGCCAGAGAGCTCTGTGTGCACCCTTCATTGTTGCACCTTCTGCCTCATTTATCAGGCGCTTAGAGTTGATGAGTATAGATTGTCGAGATGATATTATACACTATGTGTCTGATTCATTTTCCAGTTCCCTCCAGGAAAAAAAAAAAAAAAGAACTCCTCTACTCTGGGATAATTACTAGGATTGCTATATCTCCAAATCATCAGGGAGTGTCCAGAATCGAACCACCTTTATTGAAAAGTTACATCGATTCAATATATAGTAATACAGGCAAAAATAATTAAGGCTTTGCTGGCTGTGTTAGACCTTAATCCAGATCTCACAAACATTCAATAAAGGCTGTATGAGCAGGAAATAGATGGCTGACAATTTTGCCTGAGAGGACTAGCTGGTGTGTTGGAAAGGGGTCGAGGGGGGAGTGTGAGATGAGAATGAGGAGAGGGAAGAAAGAGAGGGATGGGTGGGAGAAAACGGAGAGAATTTTGGCCATTTGCTTGTAAGCTTAGTAAGTACCACTCAGCAGAATGCTTCTATGATATTTGATAATCCCCTAGATACAATATAGATGATAAAACCCAAAAGAATCAAATATTCTAGATATGGTTTGCAATTTTAGTGCAAAGAAACTTCTGCCATTTTTAAGAATGTGGGCATTCTATGGGCTTGTCATCAGAAAGTCAAATCCACATCATGCAGATTTATTTCCCATATTTAGGAAACACCTTGGACATAATTTTATCCAGACAGGATTGCTTGCATCCTCCTGATTGGATGAGGCATTGAACAATGCATTTGAATAGGGGTTGATGAGTGGGAATTGGAATGACACCCAAATTAGGAAGGAAATTAAATCTAATTAAATCTTCTACTCCAGTGCATCAGGATTCAGTGGTAAATAGCTCACGTATCAGTATGCAGTAAAAGAAGATAAGCCAGCTTGAAAAATAAAGAAAAGGGGCCGGCGCTGTGGCATAGAAGGTTAAGCCTCATTGCAGTGTCAGCACCCCATGTGGATGCCAGTTCAAGTCACTGCTGCTCCACTTCAGATCTAGCTCTCTTCTAATGGCCTGAGAGAGCAGCGGAGAATGCCCCAAGTGCTTTGGGCCCTGCACCCACGTGGGAGACCTGGAAAAGGCTCTGAATCCTGGATTTGGCTTGGCCCAGCCCCAGCCGTTGTGGCCATTTGGGGAGTGAACCAGTGGATGAATCTCTCTCTCTCTCTTTCTCTCCTTCTCTCACTGTATCTCTGCCTTTCAAATAAAAAAAATCAAAAAAATTCAATAAAAGCTAATAAAATTTAGGAAAAGCTAGTCAAATTTAGGCTAGAAAGAATAATCCTAAGGGTGCAGATGACTCAGCAGTTACAACGTCCCTTGGGACACTACATCCCATATTGGAGTGACAAGGTTCAAGTCCCAGCTCTGCTTCTAACTCTTGTTTCCTGCTAATGCACACTCTGGGAGGCAGCTGATGACGGCTTAAGTAGTTGGGTCCTTGCCAACCATGTGGAAGACCTGGATTGAGTTCCCAACTCCTGGTTTCAGTTTGGCCTAGCCCTGGCTATGGGCATTTGGGGAATGAACTAACAGATGGGAGCGCTCTCTCTCTCTCTCTCTCTCTCTCTCTCTCTCTCTGCCTTTCAAATTAAATAAGTAAGTAAATAAACAAATAAATATTTTTAAAAAGAATGTAGGATAGATGGAAAGTCTGATTTGTCAGATTTAAGTCACCAAGCGTAGCACCCTGAGTTTCCCTTCCTGTTCTAACCAAGTGATTTGGAGCAGTGTATTCTGGAAGTTATTTTTGTCCAATAATGAAGAACAAATCACACGTACAATGCAATCACTTTACATATTTACATCTATTATCTCTCCTGAAAGTTAATTAAAAATGGGTATTATGAAACAACCTACATAGATTTCAAAATTTTTTGCATCAAAATATGTTTATCTTTCCATTTCATTTTCCCATTAACTTTTAGAAGCCATTCATATGAAACAAAACATAACTTGTAGCCTGCCCAGCAAAACTTTAACAAGTTTTGTTTGGATTTCAATAAGGATCCAGTACCTTTAATAGGCCGTCTGTTAGCCCAAACCTTCAGGAAATTTGTTCATGTATCTGCTGAGGGCCCTTTCTCCTTGGATTGTGTCAGACTCCATCATGGCCAAGCCTTCCCCACCCTCTCTGTGCGTTCAGTTGTTCACGTACAAAGTCTCTGAGTCTCACTGCTGTGCCGCTCTTTCCTTGCAGCCATGACCGGACTTGTCGTACCCCCAATGTAAAGAAGAGGAAGAGCTGCTTTCCTATAGCACAAACGACTTACTCTGATGGACCAATAAAGAGAAAGCACTATGAGCTCTTTGGGAGAAATACGCCCCAAATGAACATGCTGGGCAGATCTGGGTGTACAAGGAGCTGGCATCTTACTTGGTCTCACTTTCCTCCTGTAGCGCTGATGGCAGCTACACAAACTGGCCCTCTTGGGGACAAGGACAAATGATGTCATTGGCGTGGTCAGTGCTAAGAGCAGAAATGCAATTCTTTGTTATGAACATTATGAAAACCACCTTCCTATGTTTGTAAAATATTTAAGAAAAAAATTGGCAAACAATTCATGCTTAATATTTTGGATACTATTTGTTTTTCTTTGTAGGAAAAAAAAGTTGAAAGTTTCTATTTTCTATGAAGCCTTTCAGATACCAATTTAGTTTATGCAGAAAAAAAATTGAACAAAACAGGGTACCAGCATGGAAGACTTTCTTAAAACGAAACCTGAATTGAATGATGAAATGTTGTATGTGTGTTTGCTTATAGTTTAATCTCTTTAAAAAAAAAAACAAAAAAGGGAAAAATTTTAAAATGTTTTACAATTATTTAAATAAATAAATGTGTAACTTATTGTAAGTAGAGGTAGCAATTAAGATCCTTTTTTGGAAGAGAGAGAAATTTCTCTTCCTGATGTAAAATGAAAATGATGCAAACATGTAGTAACAAGTTTTAAAGGTGTGTGATTATTACTGCAGTTATTAACTAGACTATTACTCCCCATCCTGCAGCCCCTCTTTTTCCATCATTTTATTGACCCATGGGCAAGAACATGTGTCTAATGTAGATTCCTACAGAATAACCCAGTATAGACACAAAGACTCAAATACATGTGCATACACAAATACTCAAGCCCATCAATTCATTCCCAGCTCCGTCTGCTTTCTCAATAGTATACATGTGTCTCTTTTGGTGTTCACTCTTTGTGAATTTTTTTTTTAATTCAGATTAGCTTTCAACATTCTCCTCTGAGCAATGAAGAGAATTTCCATGTTTACTGTGTCTCAGGCTTCAAGCACCCCAAGGAAAGAAGTAGCTCACCCTCAAAAAAAGGCCAAAGCCACGTAACGTTCTTACCCAAGTTGCTCCTTTGGAATTCTTTCTTGCCAGAGCCACATACTCCCTCTGCTTTGCTTACCTGGTTCAGCACAGAGGTATAAAACCCTACAGAAATTCTCAAACAGGATTTGCAAAACGGACTTTGGGTTTTTGTTGTTGTTGTTGTTGTCATTGTTGTTTTGTTTTGACTCCTATGAGTCAGTCTGGGAATATCCAAGTCCTTTCCTATCTCTGTAAATTTCTCTTTCAAGGAATCAAGCTCTCTTGAAAAAAAAAAAAAATATATATATATATATATATACCCTGCTTGATGCTATTCCCAGGTAAGAATGGGATGGGGTGGAGTGTGGAAGAGGAATGTTGAAAACTTGTAACTCTCTCCTTACATTTAAAGAAATGAAAATTCAGAATCTTGGGAGGTTCAGACATTAGAGTCATCTGGGTTCTAAACCATGCGGGTACCCAGCCCTCCAATGGGTTCACCATGCTCTATGACTAATTCTTAGTGAGAGAAACCTTGCAGTAGAGTAGGCCTATGTGGTCCTGGAGATGTGCCCAGACTTACTTGGATTGCCAACAAGAATGTCATTTTTGCCCCAAGTCAGGGTTCTCCTTGTTGACTCTTGGCCCCACAGTCAGGTCTACACACAGGCTTCCATTTGGGGTTCTTGGTTTGGGTTCTAACATTAGAAATCGGTGCAGCTTTCATGGAGAAGCATCATTAGTGCATCTGAGCCAGTTTTAGATGATTACATCCCTTCTGTCTGCCCCACTGATTCATGCCCACACCTGCCCAGCCCCCAGCAGTCTTACTTGCCCTCAGTCCATTCTAGAATCACCCAATATGACTCATATATTTCTATGCACATGAGAATCCAAGGTTTTAGAAACCTGGCATGCTTATAGCTATTACTGATAGTCCATCATAGTCAGGGCCTAAAGAGCCAAAATACGTGGAAACACAAGAACAAGTTCCCCACTGCAAAATCTGAGAGAAGGGGACGAGTGTGTGAAATACAAACATTGTCATCCAAAAATGAAGGCAGAACAAAATTAAGCATGTTTAGACCTGGATTTGAGCCAATTCAACATAAGGAAATTTTTTTTTTTTAAGTAGCATTGCTTTTAGAACCTGTGAATTTTGCTCTTGCATGAAGATGAGTGCAGTACTGTCTTCAAAATGATTGTAGAATTTGTTGGTAGCTTTACACCGAAAAATGTGTGTAACTAAATACCAGACCTCCTTGACCATTCAGCTAGAACCTTGGCAGCAGCAGATCTATTTAATTGTACAAATGTGTGTAAGGACTATTTTTAGTGTACTAATAAATTAAAAACAAAATGACCCTGTCCTCTTTAGTCATTGCTGTTGAACCATTCTGGTCCCAGGTTATTTTTGTGCCACTTGGAATATGAGTATTTCTATAGGTAACTACACATCCTATCCTAGCTTTGTAAGAGGAGCTGTGTATGATTTTTCATTTAAAGGGACAATTTACTTCACTATTTATCTCATTTTTTGTTATCGCGTTGTAGTTTTTCCCAGTTTTTCTTTGCACATTTCAATATGCATGGTTTAAAAACCATTATCTTCTCTACCTTTTGTACAGTAAGATCTCATTTTCAAACTGTATAGTTTCATTTTATTGTTTTGCTTTGTCAGTTATATACAGTATAAAGTTGCTATGCACAGAGCTTTTTGTAAAGACAGCTTTTTTGTTTACTGTTTTTAATGGTCTTACTTATGAAAGAATATCTTGTTTGTAAAATGAATATGTCTACTTCAGTTTTAAACTTTAAATTATCCTAACGAAAAAATAAAATTTTTGTACTGTAAAAATGATTGGACCTTTGCATTTTATTTTTTGTAAGTGAAAGAAACTGGAATTTGTTCTTAACTTTGGGGATTATCTCATTGCTCCTGTTTCTTTAGCTCTGGCTGGAGAAATCTTAGTGTAACTTTTCCTTACATGAACAGAACCTGAGGTACTTGCTTGAAGGAGAGTGTATGTATGATTTTAGGTCATTTTCATATATCCATATGGTCAAATTCCTCAAAAAAAAAAAACTAAAAAATCAGGGGTTGGCATTGTGGCACAGTGGGTTAAGCTGCAGTTTGTGATGCCTGCATCCCTTATTAAAATGCTACTTTGAGTCCTAGTGTTTTGCTTGCTATCCAGCTCTCTGCTGATGTGCCTGGGAAAGCAGTGATGAGATGACCTGCGAGCTTGGGCTCCTGCTGACCATTTGGGAGACCTGGATAGAGTTCCAAGTTCATAGCTTTGGCCTGGCCCAACCCCAGCCACTGTGGCCATTTAGGGAATGAACCAGTGAATAGAAGATTTATTTCTCCCTCTGTCACTCTTTCAAATAAATAAAAAAGTAAAATACATCTTAAAAAAAGAAACTAAAAATGTAAAAGGTCCTATTTGCTAAGTTGGATTTTGGCTCTACGGAACTCTTGAGTCTACTTTAAGACAAAACTGCCTGTTAGTCTAATGTGATAAGTTGATCTGTCAGATACTGAGTAAAGAATTGGAAGTTGGAACACAAACTCAATGCCTAACAATTTCCTCCCTTCCTTCCTTCTTCATTCTTTCCTTCTCCCTCCCTCCCTTCCTTCCTTCCTTCCTTCCTTCCTTCCTTCCTTCCTTCCTTCTTCCTTCCTCCCTCCCTCCCTCCCTCCCTCTGTCTCTTTATTTTTCTGAATAATAGAGAGAGACACAGAGAGAGAGAGACAAAGAGAGAGCTCCCATTCATTAGTCCACTCCCCAAATGCCCACAACAGCTGGGCCTCGGCCAGGCTGAAGCTGGGAGCCACTAACACAATCCAGGTCTCTCACACTGGTGGCAGGGACCCAACTACTTGAGCCATCACCTGCTGCCTCCTAGGATGCACCTTAATAGGAATCTGAAATTGTTAGCAGAGCTGGGACCTGAACCCAGGCACCCTGATATGGGATGTAGACATCTCACTTGGTTGTCTTAACTGCTAGACCAAACATCTGCCTCTCTCAATGCCTATTAAGTCACAGGAAGTGAAAAAGACACATGTTCATGAAACAGAATAATATAGAAGATAGCTTGTATCAAAGGTAGAAGAGCTGTAGAAGTTCAGAGAACAATCATGAGGGTTGGATTGGTCAGAGAAGGTTCCATGGAGAGTGTTGGCCAAACTGGCTTCCCAAGAATGCTAGGTATTTTGGAGTAGAGGTTGGTAGTGAGGACTACAGATGGGAAGGAGAGCAGGGACAAATAGAGTAAATGGAAATTTACACAACACAGTTGGGGAAATGTGATTTCTCATCCAGAATAGTCACAAGTATATTTATAATTGGATTATCTCACCTCTTTCTATGAGAATACAAATATCTTCAGGGGCTGGTGCTGTGACATAGCAAGTAAAGCTGCCTCCTGGAGTACTGGTATCCCATATGGGCACTGGTTCAAGTCTCGGCAGCTCCACTTCCCATCCAGCTCTCTGCTACGGCCTGGGAAAGCAGTAGAAGATGCCCCAAGTCCTTGGGCCCCTGCACCCGGATAGGAGACCCTGAAGAAGCTCCTGGCTCCTGGCTTTGGATCGGCTCAGCTATGGCTGTTGCGGCCATCTGGGGAGTGAACTGGCAGGCGGAAGAACTCTCCCTCTCTCTGCCTCTCTGTAGCTCTGCCTTTCAAATAAATAAATCTCAAAAATAAAAGATCTTCCAATGGCTTAAATTGCCTTCTTCATATAGGAAGAGATGCTGTTTCTAAACATAAACTGAGAAAGGCACTAGATTTTTCCCTTGTCTTAATGCAGACTAGGTCCTCTTCCCCTGAATATTTGCATATCTGGAGCCTTATTGTCTTCATGCCCTGGCTTGAGTATCACTGACCCAGGGAGGCCTTCGCCACCCTCTGATGATGCAAATTGCCTTACTCGTTCTCTGTAACTAAGCTCTGCACCCTTGTCATAATATATGCATTTATTGTTTTGTTGGCTTTCTGCCTCTATTTTAGACTGATGGGTCAAAGGACAGGGACCATAACAGTCTCAACACCAAATGCCTGAGGTCTCAAGAAATGCTTGTTGAAGGAGATGGTGAGCTCATTCACTCCTGTTCCCAGAGGCCACTCTGCCTTGTCATGTGGAGAGGCAGCTGTTCTGTCTCAAATGATAGGAAATGGCATCTCTTAGAGAATCACTTCTTAGGGTCTATATTGCCAGTCAATTAATTAAAAAAAAGAATGTCTATAATGTAATGTGTGGTTGTTTAACAAGCATAGGAAACTCAAAATGGAAGGAAAGAGAGGAAGCAGAGACCCCTGGCTGGTAGTCTCTAAGTTAGGACTATAATTGATTTCATCGTTTTGTCTGCCTGTTCAGAGGAACCCTTTTGTATTTATTTGTATGCCTTACTAAGTTTTACCAGAAGAAATGTTGGTGTTGATTTTTTGTGTGTCTTTTACTCTGGGGATACAGTGTTTCTTCTTCATCCTTCTTTTATTTCTGCAGATTTTAATTATAACATTAGAATATATACTCTGTTTTTTCATTCTGGTTCTTCTTGTCAGAGACACCAGTTGTATATACATTGTATCTCTGGTTCCTATCATTCAAATCTGTCACATTACACCTTTTTTTTAAAAGATTTATTTATTTATTTTAAAGGCAGAGTTACCAAGAGGCAGAGAGAGAGAGAGAGAGAGAGAGAGAGAGAGAGAGAGAAAGGTCTTCCATCCGCTGGTTCACTCCCCAAATGGCTGTAATGACTGGAGCTGAGCTGATCCGAAGCTAGGAGCCTGGAGCTTCTTCCAGTCTCACACACAGGTGAAGGGGCCCAAGCATTTGGGCCATCTTCCACTGCTTTCCCAGGCACATTAGCAGGAAGCTGGATCAGAAGTGGAGCAGCCAGGACTCAAACTGGTGCCCATATGGGATGCTGGCACTGCAAGCCGTGGCTTTATCTGCTATGACACAGCACCAGCCCCAATCTTAGTACATTTGTATGCTTGCTTTCCTCAATCTTGTCCTTTATGTTTCTTATAATGTGGTTTTACTTTCTCATTTTTTAAAATTTCTATCACTATTTGCATCAGCTGTGCCAGCTTATATCCCATCACTTTCTATTGTGTTGCTTATTTTTGTTAAGCAATTGCACCTCAGTTTTGGGCTATTGTTCTACAGAGAAAGTTTTTATTGTTGTGGTAACAAACAGGATGAGAATTGCCATGAACTCCATGAAAATTTTTTTTTCCTGAATGTTCTTCATCTGCTGTTTGTTTTCCTTTTCTCTTTTTCCCTTCATGGTATCTATATAGAAATGATAGTTTTAAACCTTTTGGTAATATTTATCTTTGAAGTAAATTTTGACAGGAACAGCTCTTTCCCAGTTTTAGAGAAGACCTAGGGCTGTGAACCAAGTTAGAGTGTTTAGTTCAGAGCTGTGTGTGCAAGTGTGCATTTGTATGTCTATGAGAGAGGAGATAGACCAACTTCTTTTAGAGTTTACTTCTTCTTGGGCAAAATAAATCAGCATTTGTGCAATTGCTCACAATGCAACTACCTTTCCCAACTGACTGACTAATTCATGTATATATGGCTTATCTGGGTAATTCTCTCATTCAGTCCAGCCTATTGTCTTCACGTCTTTGCCAAATTGGGTCCAGAAGTATTTCTGCAGACCACATGCTCATTCCAATTGTTTGACACAAGAAGCTATGGGTTTGGGTCCTCTGGATAGTTCCATTTTGTCCTACCAGCTTTGTCTGCAGCTGGCATCCTTTCTCAGTCCTTACACATTGCTCTTTGATTTTTTCTGCCATTGCTATGTGGTTCTTATAGATTGTGACTTGTGCTAAGCTGCTTTCCTAGCTTTATCAATGATGAAATTCATGTCTCTCTTATCTTCCTGTTTTCCTCTGGGTGACTGTGAGGAGAAATTGGTGGAAGAGTTCTTACAATACCATTTTAGCCTGGATGCTTGCCTACTCAATGCATTGTGCCATAGTAATTCAAGAAAAAAGGAGAGCCGCATAGTGCTAGGAACTCCTTCATTCTATAAATATGTATCAGCTTACCTTTGACCTTGGAGATTATCCTTGATAACCAGTTCTGTGGCCAGCTCAAATGGCTACATTCTTCACATTCCCCATTGGATCCTGCTGAATACAAATAGTAGGATACAGATAACTCTCAAAAACAACAAATAAAAGTGATTGTCCAGCTGTAATTTACTGCAATAAATAACACACAAAAGAGATTTGTTGCCTGACTCTTGAAAATCTGTTGACATGGTACATGGCAGTATTGAGTAGATGCTCTTGCCAAGTATGATTCTAGGTACTAACAATACAGCAGGGACATAGACAGCCAAAAAAAATCAACTTCCATTGAGCTTGCATTCTCTAAAGTACCTTATTTTCAACAAATTTTATTAACAGAAGAAAGTGTGGCACAATGGAGGTAGTGAGGATTCGGAAGTCCATGCTCACATTCAAGTCCTGCAATCCTTACCTGTGTAACCCTGAATAAAACACTGCAGCTGATGTTAGTTTTCTCAAATATGAAGTAAGGACAATAACGACTGCACACATGTATGTCTGTGCAAGCGGTTCAAAATGCTCATGGAGGGACTGGCACTGTGGCACAGCAGGTTAAAACCCCGGCCTTCAGTGCCAGCATCCCTTATGGGCGCCAATTCGACTCCTGGCTGCTCCACTTCTGATCCAGCTCCCTGCCAATGAGCCTTGGAAAGTAGCAGAGGATTGCCTAAGTGCTTGGGTCCCTGCACCCACGTGGGAGACCCAGAAGCTCCTGGCTCCTCGCTTTGAATTGGCCCAGCTCCAACCTTTGTGGCCATT